GTTCTGCTGTGCATAATGTCATTATGAGTCAGTACCAACTCGATGGCACCTAACAACAACATACAATATTATGAAAATAGAAATCTGAGTTTTGGCAAGATTTAGTAAGGATCTAAACTAAGGGAGAAAAAAAAATTGCATTAATTTAAAATTTGATGTTTTAATTAAAGCAATTTTCTCTCTAATTCTCACCAATTCATGAAGTGAAATCAAAGCCTGAATATTATTTAATGCAAGCAATTTCACTGACAGACTTCTCTGTCTTTGGCCAGGTTGTTTACTTGATCCACATAGCAGCCTAGTTCAGTCCTGCATGTGGCTCTTGGACTTCCATTACTAGCTAGTCCACATATAGATGCCTAAAAATTTTTTTCTACACACATCTCTGTAACTGAAGTAGAAATTTACAGGGTTAGGGATAGTTGATTATTTACAAATGAAGCTATCACATTTATTTTTGATACTTAAAAAAAATCTTCACTATGGTCTTTAACCATCACTTGTCTGTTAGTCATTTTGTGGTGGCTTGCTTTTTGCTGTAATGCTGGAATGTATTCACCAGTATTTTAAATACCAGGAGGATCGCCCATGGTTAACAGGTTCCAGCAGAGCTTCCAGACTTAGACTGACTAGAAAAAAGGAGATGCTGATAAATTCTGAATGGTTAGCCACTGAAAACTTTAGCAATAACAGTAGAACATTGTCAGATAGAGTTTCAGTAAATGAAAACATTATGGATAGCAGCAGATCATTGTCAGATGTAGTGCTCAAAGATGATCCCCTCCAGTGAAGGCACTCAAAATACAACTGAGGAAGAGCTACCTCCTTAAAGTAGAATTGGTCATAGTGACACAAATAGGGTTTAACTTTCCACACCTTCATTTGCTGGTGGGGCACAACTTAAAATGAGGAGAAACAGCTGCAAATATCCATTAGTAATCAGAAAAAGCAATGTATTAAGTACTGATCTAGGAAAATTGGAAGTTGTCAAAATGAAATGGAATGAATACAATTCATGTCCTGGGCATTAATGAGCTGAAATACACTGACATTGGCCATTTTGAATCTGACAATCATATGATTTACTATGCCAGGTATAACAAATTGAAGAGTAATGGTGTCATTCATTGTCAGAAAGAACATTGCAAGATCTATCTTGATGTACAATGATGTCTTTGGTAGGACAATATCCATACACCTACAAGGAAAACCAGACTCATGGTATGGCACCGTAGGATCAGCACTGGACTGTGAACCACAAGGTGAGCAGTTCAAACCCACCAGCTGCTCCTTGGAAACCCTATACAGGGGCACTATGAGTCAGAACTGACTTGACAGTATGTAACAACAATACAAGGAAAACCAGTTAATACCACTATTATTCACATAAACTACCAACAACTAAAGCCAGTGATAATGCAAATGGAAAATTCAGTCTGAAATCGATCAAACATGCAACCAAGATTCATTGATAATTACTTGTGAATGGAATGGGAAGTTCGAAACAAACAGGAAGGATCAGTTGCTGTACAAAATGAGCTTGGTGGTAAAAATGATATGGGCGACCGCATGATAGAATATTACAAGAATACCTTTTTTTAAACAGCATAAAAGGTGATTATACATATGGATTGGCAGTTCAAACACACCAGATGCTCATCAGAAACCCTATACAGCATGACTCTGAGTCAGAACCAACTTGTCAGCAATTAACAACAACAAACATATAGACTTTACCAGATGGAATACACAGGAATCAAATTGACTACATCTGTGGGAAGAGACAGTGAATAAGCTAAATCTCATCAGCCAAAACAAGGTCAGGGAGACCGGGGGCAGGCTTGCAGCGTATACCCTTTGGTTGGCTGATGACGCATGGAGGGGATTGTAACCATGGCAATGAAATGATATACAATAGAATGAATGTAAAACTAATGTTCTCCCATGTAAACATAATTCACAAAAAAACATTTAAAAAAAGGTGAGGGCAGAGTGTGGAATGAACCATCTATTACTCAAATGCAAGTTCAGGCTGAAGCTGATGAAAATTAAAGCAAATTCACAAGAACCAAACCATGACCTTGAATATATCGCACTTGAATTTAGAGATCATCTGAAGAACAGATTTGATGCACTAAACATTAATAAGAGAAGACCACAAGAGTTGTGGGATGGCATCAACAACATTATATAGGAAGAAAGCTAAAGGTAAGTTAAAAGACAAAAAAGAAAGAAAAGACCAAAATGAATATCAGAAAGGACTCTGAAACTTGCTCTTAAATTAAAGTGCTTGGAAGAAATGATGAGGTCAAAGAGCTGAACAGAAAATTTCAAAGGGCAGCTCAAGAAGACAAAGTCAATTATTATAATGAAAATTGCAAAAACCTGGAGTTAGAAGACCAAAAGAAAAAACACTCAGCATTTGTCAAGCTGATAGAACTGAAGAAAAAATTCAAGCCTTAGGTTGTAATACTGAAGGATACTATGAGCAAAATATTGAATGATGCAGAAAGTATCAAAAGAAGATGGAAGGAATACACAGTCACCTTACTGAAAAGAAATGTTAGATTTCAAGAGGTATCATATGATCAAGAGCCAATGGTACTGAGTTACGAAACACTGAAGGCAATGACAAAAATCAAGACTCAAGGAACTGATGGAATACAAATTTAAATCTTTCGACAAACTGATGCAGCATGGGAGGTACCCACTCATCTATGCCAAGAAATTTGGATGAAAGCTGCCTGGCTAACCAATTGAAAGAACTCATATTTGTTACCATTCTAAAGAAAGGTAACCCAACAGAATGTGGAAATCATCGAATATCCTTAATATCACATGCAATAAAATTTTGCCCAAGATATTTCAAAAACTGTTGCAACAGTACATTGATAGATGTTTTTGTTGTTTTTAAGTGCCGTCAAGTCAGTTCCAACTTACAGTTACCTGTGTAGGGTTTCTGAGAGCTGGTGAATTTGAACTACTGACCTTGTGGTTCAAACTGACACTGTGGTCCAGTGCTTATCCTACACTGCTATACCAGGACATGGACAGATAACTGTCAGAAACTCCAGCTGGATTCAGAAGAAGATATAGAACTATATCTGAAATCATTGCTGATGTCAGAAGGATCTTGCCTGAAAGTAGAGAATATGTGTGCTTGTGCTTCATTGATTATGCAAAAGCTTTCAAACTATAAAAAATCATGAATAACAGTGTGAAACAATGGGTACTCCAAAACATTTAATTGTGCTCATGAGGAACTTGTAATCAGGAGGGAATTGTTAGAACAGAACAGCAGGATACTGAATGATTTAAAATCAGAAAGGTTTGTGCCAGGGTTGTATGCTTTCACCATGCTTATTCAGTTAGTATGCTAAGCCGATGATCTGAGAAACTGACCGAATGCATGGCAACTAACAACAACAACATAGTATGCAAAATGTATTGATGATCAATTTTAAGGTTTTTAAAGTCAGTAAATAAAACCCCACTCTTTGTTTTTCATTATTGTTACTTTTTGTTTTTTGAAATTCCACTTTATATTGTATTATAGTTGACTTTTTAAAATAACCATAGGGAAAAAAATCAATATACATAACACACACAAAACAAGACACCCATAATTCTGAGTACTTAATCAACACCAGGTTTTATCCTTTTTTATTTGCACATAAATCTCAGTCTTAAACGTTCACTCCTTTCCATCTGTCTGTTCTCCTCTTTTTCATTTCCCCTTCTTCTCCCCTCCCCCTCCTTTCTAAGGCTGCAAGATATTGTGATAGCATAAAGAAAAATATTAACTGCAGTATGAACACAGTTTATTCTGTAAATACTAAGGTCACTATAAATTGATTGAAAATGTTTTTGCTTATTAGAAACATAATATGTAAATATTAAGAAACTCATATTAATTTTCCCATACCCAAAGTTTCTTCCCCTATTGTATAAAAATAGAATGGCAAGTAAAATAAAAAATGGAAGGGTCAAATTTTACAAATATTAATCTGCTTCTTTAAGCAGCACTGGTAACATAGTGGGTTATGACTTGTGCTGCTCTGGGTTCAACTGTTCATGGGAGAAAGATGATACTTTCTGCTTCTGCAATGATGTATAGCCTCCCAAATCCTATCCATGGTCAATGACTATGTGCTTACTATCCAGGGTCTGTGGTTGTATGCTATGACTCCATGACACATCACCCCAAAATCCACTACAATCCACTTCTTCATTGTTTAGTACAGTAGTTCTTAGACTTGAGTGTACATCAGAATGACCTGGAGAGCTTGTTAAAATCCAAATTGTTGGACGTGGCTCCCCAGAACTTGGAATTCAGCAGAAATTAGATTGGGCCTGAGAGCTGCATTTCTAACAAGTTTATAGGTGATGTTCATGATATTGGTCTAGGGCACCACACTTTTAAGAACCACTGAGTTAATGGACAAAATGATTTATAATATCTATTTTAATGAAGTAGATGTTTATTGGGTAAGTCTTTACAACAAAACCATTATTGTCAAATCCTTCATTCATAACTGATTCCATCTCTATATAAGCAAAGTGTTTAAAAATGGAAAATTGACAAGTAACATAAAGATTATAAAGTGGTTTGTATTAAATAAGTCTTAATTTTTGTGTATTCTCTTTGGATGATACTGTTTTTAAATTCTCTATATACTTATTGAGGTTATGTTAACACTTTGTGTTAAGTGGCCCGCAAACTACAACAGATGTCGCAAGAGAAGTGAGGCATGATCCTACCCTCATGAAGCTTGCAGTCTAGCAGACATTGCCCCTATTCAGAAGTTTCCAGTAATAAAATCTTAGAAACACTTGATTTTTATTTGGGTGGCTTTATTTATGATTTCCTGAGGAGAAAGATCATTTATATGATAAGCATTCCATATTTTAAATGTGCACAGCTGTTTTGTAGCTTTAGATTCCACTCTAAAGCAAAACAAAAAGGAAAACCGTGGCAACTCAGTGGCAAACTTCCAGTTGCTTCAATTACCTGATTTTTATCTAACAAAATGATAGGTACAGATTCTGTAATTTTTCCATGTCTACTAGAGTAGTAGGGACCATAGGTAGGATAAGCACTGGACCTCAAGGTTGGTTTGAACCACAAGGTCAATGGTTCAAATTCACCAGCTGCTCCTCAGAACCCTATACTACTGGGTCACAATGAGCAGGAACTAACTCGACGGTACTTGTAACAACAACAACAACAACACTACAGTACAATGTGTTGTTGTTAAGTACCGAGGAGTCGGTGGCGACTCATAGTGATCCTACACAGGGTTTCCAAGGCTGCAAATCTTTACGGGAGCAGAACGCCTCATCTTTCTCCCGTGGAACAGCTGGTGGTTTCGAGTTGCCGACCTTGAGGTTAGCAGCCCGATTCTACTAGAGCTACTAACTAAAACAATTTTCTCTGTTGGAAAGAGATGATTTTAATACTTTTACAAAAATCAAACTCTGGGAGATAAAAATAATATAATCATTTGATATTGACTTCATTTTCTATACTAGTTTCGACTTACAAAATGTCTCTTTAAACAGTTTTACTTCTTCAAAATTTCCACTAGTTTCAATAATGATGTTTGCAGTCTTAACACACTACCAAAATTTATATTTTAATTTCTATGTACCAAAATAAAATGTTAGCTTTCGTAAGCTTTCATATGAGGAGACTGTGGGAAAACTCCATTATAATTTTGTTCTATTTTCCATGGACTTTCTAAGCCCCCTGTGTTTTTCCTACTAAAATTTAATAGTCTGTGTACAATATGGATGTATATATATTCTATGAATACTGAAGACAGTTTCACTCATGGTAAGTGAAAAACCATAAATTATGAGAAATCATAAATTGTTTTCTTGTTTGTTTACATGTGACTAAAAAGATAGATCTTGCCATCTATTAAGATTAAGATACCATTGAGATTATAGCCAATAAAGCCTATGGGACATATAGGGTCATCATAAATTGGAACTGACTTGATAGTAAATAACAACAACAAATCCCAGACACTAACTGAAATTGCTTAGACTTGATATTCACGTTCTGAAATTCAATAGCTGAAATAGTATAAATAGTATAAACCCATGTAAAAAACCGTAATGCCTGTGTTTACTCTCTTTGTTAGTAACATCTTCAAGGGATCAGCAGTGTGTATGTACAGCATGAGTGACGTGAGAAGGGTGTTCCTTGGTCCCTATGCCCACAGGGATGGTCCTAACTATCAGTGGGTGCCTTATCAAGGAAGAGTCCCCTACCCACGACCAGGAACTGTAAGTGATCTAGGTGTTTAAAATATGAAATAAATAGATTTCTGAACAATGTGGGAAAAAATAGGTTCTAAATGGACTTTAAATACAGAAAAGGTAGAACATTCTAAGACTATGTAACTGAGAGGCAAGTATTTCCTGCCATGGAATTTTTTACAGTGCCTAAATTCAGTGCTTACAATCTGTTAAAGCTCATATTTTTGAGAGATAATTAGAAACGGAATAGTTGACTTCATGTTTTAGACAATATATTTATATATAGAGAGAGTCCTGATGTGCAGCTATGGGTTAATGCACTGGACCACAAAGTCAGTTTAAACTGTAAGGTTGGTAGTTCAAGGGGACCAGCTGCTCCTTGGAAACCCTATAAATGCTGTAAGTTGGATTCAACTCAAAGGCACTTAACAACTATATATATATATATATATATATATATATATATACACATAGAGATTACGTAGTGGTTACGAATCGGGCTGTGAGCCTCAAGGTCAGCAGTTCGAAACTACCAGCTGTTCCATGGGAGAAAGATGAGGCTTTCTGCTCCCGTAAAGATTTCCAGCCTCGGAAACCCTGTACAGGGTCACTATGAGTCAGAACTGACTCTACAGCACATAACAACAACAACATATATACATATGTATATATATGCTGTTACTTTGGATTCGCTTTCTGCATACACACACATATACACACATGTGGGGGCACTCTTGACAGGTATTCTCAAAGGACACAGGACAATCATGGGCTTTTATGAAGAAGTTTTAAGAAAATTATAAAGGACATTGATGAGAAAAAAGCCAGCAAAAGTGTACTGAGTAATTTCTTTGCATTACAAGACTGCACCTGCTCATTTTTCAAGGGTAGCAAGGACTATCCTATCAGAATATCATTGATAAACCATATCCCATCCACCCTACATCACTGATGTTGCTCCTCCAGATTTTTTTGTTCCCCAAACTGAAAGAACATCTAAAAAGAACATGATTTGGATTCCTTGAGGATGCCAAAACAGTTGTTTTATGTGGTATAAAATGAAGAGTGGAGAATTATTGGGGGAAGGTTTAGAGAGATGGAAACAGTGCCTTCAGAAGTATATTTGTTGTCCAGTCAGTTCAGACTCATAGCTACCTTGTATAGGGTTTCCAAGGAGTGACTTTTTAGGCTTATTCTACAGTACCATACCTGAAGTATATTGTGTTGTTAAGTGTCATCATCAAGTTGGTTCTAACCTATAGCGGTCTTGTATAGGGTTTCTGAGGAGTGCCTGCTAAGCTTGAAATGCCGACCTTGAGGTTCAAACTGACTTTTCAGTCCAGCAAATTAACTTAGAGTCACACCAGAACCCCTGCATATTTATATATACACAATTGTAGGAGCAAACAAGTCTGTAATCTGTAGAGCAGGAGCAAGCTAGAAAGTCAAGCAAGTATTAGCAATGCATTTTTGAGTCCAACGTTTTTAGGGCAAGCAGTAGGCTGGCTTCAATGTTACAGTCTTGGACAGATTTCCTCCTCTGTAAATCCTCAGTTTTTCCTCCTAAGGCCTTCAGCTGATTCAAAGAGGCCCATCTGCATTATGGAGAATTGTAGATATTTACCACATCTACAAAGTACTTTACAGCAATATCAAGACTAGTGTTTGACTAAACTGGGGATTGCAGTCTAGCCAAATTGACACATAAAATTACCATCACATGTTTCGGTTTCCAATTTGGTATACAGATATTTGATAATTTTATAACATGAACTATATAATTATGTAATTTTCTTTAAATAAACTAAAGTCATTTAATCCTGTATTACTATAATGTGTGTGTGTATAAACACACACATGTATTGCTCTCCCCATTTAAAAAGTTTTATTTGTTTCATGTCTCATGAATTATTAATGATCTATATGGTGCTGTGGGCTAATGGGTTAGACTGTAAAATCTTTTGAACTGCAAGGTTGGTGGTTCAAGCTCATCCGCTGCTCCTTGGAAACTCTATACAAGGTCGCTTGGGTCTGAATTGACTCAACGGCACTTAACAACACAACATATCAAGATAATGCCAATGACAATTGATTTCTCCTTCTCCTCTTGTACAATCAGGAACCCCTCTTCATTACATTTTTACCTCCCAAGTTCTTATGTTAAAAGCAGAAATAACTGATGTATAACATGAAAAGTAAGAGATGGGCGATATTGTACTGTATACATCATAAGCAAATGTAGTGGAAAGAGGAACAATGACATCTGACTTGACTAATTTGTGTTTTATTATTTTCTATGGAACATTTACATCCCAGAGGTCACAGTATGCCAATGCTCAGTAGTGGTGCATCCTTTCTGTTCATCTGTGGCCATAATCTGGTTGGCTTGGAAATGATGTGCATTTAGATTGGCTAGTTTCTATGCCATGCTGGTCGCTAAACACTTGGCATAATATGCCTGCTTGTCCCTAAAGTTATCTTAGTTATTAAAAGTCATTGTTGCTGTTGTATTGTGAATTGTTGTCAAGTCGGTTCTGACCCATAGGGACCCTGTATAGGGTTTCCTAGGAGTAGCTGGTGAGCTTGAACCGCCAACCTTGCAGTTCAAATGGCTTTGCAGTCTGGCGCATTAACCCAGAGTGACACATCAGGACCCCTTGATGATGCTTTATTCAGCATTTATGTTAGCAACAAAAGAATAATAGCTTTAAAATTATATTTAAATTTTAATTTATATAGTTTTAGGAAAGGATTTGTATTTTAGCACAATGATGTAGGGAAAAAAACAACAACAACTGTGTCTAAGAAGAGTAATCTGAGATACTCTAATCTACTGATTACATACATTTATAGAAGTAGTAGCACGATCCCCGGTGGTACACTGGGCTACTAGCTGAATGGTCAGAAGTTCACACCCCCCAGTTGTTCTTTCGGAGAAAAATTTGTCAGTCTGTGTAATAAAGAGGACAGTCTTGGAAACCCTATGGTGACAATTCTGCCCTATCCTATAAGGTTGTTATGAGTTAGAATTAACTTGATGGTAGTGAGTTTGATTTGGGATAGATACTAGTAACTATTTCATTCATAATCTCAAGTGATCATCTAACACATATATAAAACAAGGACAGTGCCACTAATAAAAGCAACAAAATTTTCCTATTGCCTTAATTTTTAGATGCATTTAATTTTTTTTTTTTATAAATAGTGCATAACCAAGTCCGATTCAAATAAACAGCATTTAGGAAATACACTATATAATAAATTACCAATTTAAATAACATTGCTATTTTTTAATTTATCACTTACCTAACTTTAACACATAATTTCAAGTAAAAGAATTCCTAGACTACTTAGGCCCTATACCATTATATAATTTATAGTCTTATTCATTTGAGCTTAATAAAAATTATTTCTCTCTTCTATCCTAATAGTGTCCCAGTAAAACATTTGGTGGATTTGACTCTACAAAGGACCTCCCTGATGATGTTATAACATTTGCAAGAAGTCATCCAGCCATGTACAATCCAGTGTTTCCTATTAATAACCGCCCAATAATGATCAAAACAGATGTAAATTATCAGTTCACACAAATTGTAGTAGATCGTGTGGATGCAGAAGACGGCCAATATGATGTCATGTTTATTGGAACAGGTAAGTTTTTTAGCTTTAACGTTGAATTTACTTTTAGAATACTATGTTTCGCTGATTAAGGAGAATAACAACCTAAGACAATTTTATAGCCACTCTCAAGGTGTAATTAGCTTCTGACAAATGACTGAAAAAAAACCCTAAACATTCTACCATTACAACTGTGTTCTTTTTATAAGGCAAGATGACATATATTAATTTAAAATAAATATCCTTTTCAGCCAGAAGTTGATAAATGTAATCAGGTAAAGGTAATGATTAGTAGAAGAATCAATGACCATAATTGAATCATAACTCTTTTCTGGTCAGTGGCTTTTTAGGACAAAGATATATAGAGCAAAACTATGCTTGAACTTTCCAAGACATTCAATAATGGTTCCAGAATATATTAAAGCTAAATTAATTATAAGAACTTTAAAAGTACTATTGGATGCAAAACTTGTTCTTCTTATCTGCTAGTCAGTGGGGGAAATTTCCCTGGGATAAGCAACAAAATTGGCTCAAGGAATATCTAATATGTTTTAGATGCATTGATGTAGAAATTTAACAACATATGTCTACTAATTCCATGATTAGAAACATACTATTTGCCAACTAAGTTTAAGAATGAATTCAACTATTACTAGGACATGCTATTTTATTTTTCTCATTCTCCCTTTAATAACATTACTATGTTTTAAGGTACTAGTTACAAACCTGAAACTTGCTACTTAGGGTCAAATTCCAAGGTAATAAATTCCTAGGCTCCATTAAGGTTGTTAACTGACATAAATCAATGAGAAACAAAGTGAGTGCTCCACTGAAACCTTGTATAATAACATTTGTTTTCCCTTGGTGGGAAACAGACAAAAAATTACATTAAACACAGGGAAATAACAAATATTCAGTAAGAGATTTTAAAACTAAAAGCTTTATAAAGAAATTGTGAAATACTTATGTTATCAGGTGAAATGGTGTCAGATTTGGAGCAATACATTGCAGTCTACCTTTATGAGTGAGAAAATTTGTCTATCAAATAAAAGATTCCCAATGAGACTCAGGGTCCATTCACGTAAAATATTATAAAAGTCAATGAATTGGAGAATCAACTTCTGGTTATAAATTTCTTTAGAAAATATTTGACAGAATACCCTTAAATAAGTATGAATGTACCCTTTAATGTCAGACTATAATTAAACAGTAATTAAGTTTGTTCAATAATGTGACACTTTTCCCTCATTTGCCTTTTTTTCTCCCCTGGCTTAAAGTTGTTGAAAAGTCCTTCACTCATTGTCAGTTCAACAAAAGCTTGCTTCCGCTTATTTGACCAAAGAAACCCAATCATGAGCTTTTAATTCCTCTTGGACACAGTCTGTCTTTAAAGGCACCGATGTCATGAGCATGCTGAATATCTTAATGATACGGATGGCTGTCCGTCAGTACAAACCAGGGTCATCTGTCAGCAAAGTAAATTGATTGCAGTAATTTTATCTTTTAACTAAGTTGCACAACATGGTATATTGATCCTAGATGAGTAATCTGATTCAATTTGTGTGAAATTGTTTGAAATACTACTCAGTAAAACTTGATCCAGAGCACAGATAAAGCTGTGTTTGGGTACTAGAGACCTGATCAGAGACACTAAGTAAATTAACATAAATTACCTTTAATCTTTGGTGTTTTGATAGTCTAAGGTCCTGTAAACATAGAAGGATCCTCTTAAAAGGGGACTTTTTTTTTTCAACTTTATAAACTGCCAAATCTTTTTGATCTGGTGTAGGACATCATATGAGTTCCTTGAAAATGACTATCAATGATATGAATTAAAGTATTTTTTTCTGAGTAATTTATTTGTTAGTGGCAAGATTTTCTTCCCAAGTAGTCTATTAAAAATGAACCAATTTAAGATAAAAATAATTGATCAAGTTTTGTCAGAATTGGGATGTTGAAGATTCAAAATTTTGAATAATGCCCTGTTCTTTATTCTTTCAAAGAAGAAAAACATACCTATAAACACTAGAAAATGAATATCTTCTGAATGCAAATTAGAGTGAAAATGGCAGCTCTTGTCATTAAAGCAATTTGCCTGTTTAACAATGAAAATTGTTAGATTAAAAAAAAGAATGCATGGAATCTATTAAATGCATTTAATGAAATTATTTAAATGATTTTTCTGTTTCTGGAATTTTAAATTTTGTATTACTCTAAAGTTGCTTAACCAATGTGTATAATATTGAAATGCAATGGCAACTCATAGCAATAAGTAATTCCACACATTTATTTTGAGAAATCAGGTTTTTGTCATCCATCATATAATAGTCATTGAGTTATCTTTCCAAACCCACTGCCATCAGATTGATTCTGACTCACCGGGACCCTCTTGGATAGGGTTTCTGAGGCTGTGAGTCTTTTCTAGAGTAGACAACCTCATCCTTCTCCCATGGAGTGACTGGTGAGTTTAAATGGTCCACTTTGTGTTTGGAAGCCAGATGCTTAACCCACTGTACCACAAGGATGCCTGGAGCTATTTTTGTTGTTGCTAAGTGTAGTCAAGTTGTTCAGACTCGTAGCCACCCTCGTATAGGATTCCTGAGAAGCTGGTGGTAGGTTAAAACTGCTTAGCTTGTGGTTAGCATTCCAGCGCTTATCCAACAGCACCACATAAACACTTCTATAAATTGATATGGGAGCCCTGGTGTGGTGCTGTAGGACAAGTATTGGACGGTTAATTGCAAGGTTGGTGGTTCAAACCTACCAGCTGCTCCTTGGAAACCCTATAGAGGTTCCCTATGAGTTAGAACCAACTAAACAGCATGTAACAATTTAAAAACAAAATTGATATGAGGCGCGTGGGTGGCACAGTGGTTAAGGTGCTTGACTGCTAACTTAAAGGTCTGCAGTTCAAACCCACCAGCTGCTCCATGGGAGAAAAATGTATTCGTCTGCTTTTCTAAACTTTTACAGCATTGGAAAGTTTATGGGGTAGTTCTACTCTGTCCAATAGGGTACTGAGTTGGAATCAGTTAGACAGAAGTGGGTTTAGTTTGGGGAGTTTTTTCTTTCATTTTACTTTTAAAGTTGACATGAGGATGAACAGCCAGTGTTCTTAAATTCTTATTTTATTTCTTGACATTTTACTTTTGTTTTGACCTGAATTTTTTTTAATTTGCATTTTACTTCCCCATATAGTGTTCATAGTTTTACCCTGATTTATAATAAAAAAGCTGTCATGTTGAACTGGTATTATATTTAGTTGTTTTTGTTTTTGTTCTTTTCCCAAGACATGTGATAATTAAAGGGAATTTTTTTAAACTATTGAAGCAGTTTTTTAAATCTAGCATATCTCTGTACTGTTTGTTACATTAAAAAATATATATCTGTTCAGGATAAAGCTTTCTTCAAAGCTTAACATATTTCTAAAAATCCATTTCTTTTGATTCTACCAGTAAAAGCGGTCTAAACACATGAAATACATTTAAATATGTATTTTACTAATGTTGTGGCAAAACTGTATTACAAGGAAGATTGAAATAAAAATAGTCTTTTGAACAAAAAATTATTTTATCTATTAACATTAAACTCTGGTCAGATCTATTAAATTGTCCTCTTCTGCCACCTCTACCCTCTTTCTTTCAAAGATGTTGGAACCGTTCTTAAAGTAGTTTCAATTCCTAAGGAGACTTGGCATGATTTAGAAGAAGTTTTGCTGGAAGAAATGACAGTTTTTCGGGTGAGTGCTGCTTAATTTCAGGTGTCCAGAAGTTCAGTTGTATGTCTTTCCCTCAGGACAGCTGCTCACTGAAGTTGGTATGGACAAGTAGTCTAGCATACTCTTCTAATTAGCTTGTCAATTACAAAGCCAGACACTAGTCAAAATAAACTTTCAATGCTAGTTAAATATAAATATGTAAAGAAATATACTCTTGGCTCATATTTTGTTTTCTCAATGATAAAATTTATGATTTATATTTTATATCATTTATTTAAATTACCTCAGTTAACAAACTATTTCCCCCCTAAAACCTACTCTTTAATACTTTATGCTGTAATAAGGATGAAATGTAATTTTTTCTGAAAGTATTAAGGAAGATGCATTCAGAATGATGGGAAAGGAGACATTTCAAACAGTTTTTGCTTACTCCTAAATTATCATGTTTTCTTTAAAAAGCTTTTTTTTTTTTTAGCAGAAGAATAATGTCTTATATTTCCCAATACCAAATTTTGTAATAGATTAAAATCTATAGACTTCAAAATGTGCAGCTATGTGTCCCTCTTTCCTGAAACATGGACTGTCACATTCATGGCCCAGGGTTGAAAGTGGATGTGGGAAGATATAGGGTGACGTGAAAATGGTGTAGCATAGACGACAGTATCTTGTGTGCCTTTTAAAAACCTAGCAACTAAAAATAGTTTGAATTAAAGAGCATTTTGATATGAATTTTATATGAGATGACAAGAATGTTTTTAAAGGTTATTTTTAAATTTTAATGAAAGAATAAAGCAAACACATATAGACAATTTTAACTTCAAAACAGACTGGAATTAGAATGATTTGGTGGAACAAGCAATAAGAAAACCTTATATCTAGTATCACAATTTCTATGGTCTCCTTTAATCTCCAGGTAGCGCAGATACAAGTATAAGTCAAAAAGTGTTACTACAAAATCATAGAAACCTTGATTAAACAAAAACCTCTTATGTTAAGCTATTTTATTTCCTCCCTTTAGGCCTATATACTTCTAAAGGGGGTTTTTCCATCTCTCTAACTCTCACCCAAAGAATTCTATACTCTGCAATTTACATCACGTCAAAATGGCAATTTTATCATATGCAAGGGACCCAAATCATGTTAAATGTTCTTTGAGTTTTGGGAACCAAAAATCTGAAGAGGCCAGATCAGGACTATGGGGTGAATGGGTAAGGTTTCCCAATGAAATTTTCATAGCACAACTCTTGTTACACGTGAACAATCAGCAGAGGCATTGTCATGGTGAGAAAACAAAAAAAAATCTTGGCACAACTTTCCTGACCATTTCTCACCAATGCAGTTTTCAGATTTCTTAAAACTTCACTTAGGCACAATAAGCCTCATGTGTCCTGTGTCCATCGAGGAAATTGAACAAGATTTGTTGCTGCTGTTGAGTGCCATTAATTCAGTTCTAACTCGTAGTGACTTTATATAAGTTTCTGAGCAGCAGCTGGTGGGTTTGAACTCCTGACATTGAGGTTAGCAGTCCAGTCCTTACCCTACAATGCCACACCAGGACTTGGTTTTCCAAAAAACAATTCTATAATCTTTTGAGTGGAATTCTTTATCTAAATTGAACTGGCCCAGCAGATCCCCTCAGTAACCACTGTTTTGATTGGACCTTTTTTTAATGAGGGCATTCAAATAAGTATAAGACAAATGTCTGAGAGAACTTGATTGCAAACAGCCATTGATCTGATCGAAAAGACGCGTTAAAAGCACTCTTTGTTTGAAATAAACTCATTCATGTGTGAACCTTTTTAGCAAAACTTTTTTACTTACCATTGAACTTTATATGTAAAAGAAATTGGTGGCTTTAAATTTCTTTCAGTCAAATTAGTAATTTAATGGTAAGAAAAATCTCCCCAACAGTTCTTAGTCCCATATTTCTATATTAGTTTTCTAACCTAATGGGACTCTAGCTAATTACAGAATAACAGTTTGAAGAGAAAATGAAGTAAAATATGACAACTGAAAAAGGAAAAAGTATAGAGTTTAAGCCCTTCCTTGGAATCTATCCATATTTAAGATGAGTTACCAGAGTAAAAGGATTCCTAGTGTGGTATTGTAGGATCAGCTCTGGACTTCGAACCACAAGTTCCTATTTCCAAACCCATCAGCTGCTCCTCGGAAACCTTATATATGATTGTTATGAGTCCAAACTGACTTTGCGGCATTTAACAACAATAACCAGAGTGTAAAGAAGTGAAACTGAAGCCAGTAACAAGTTATCTTTTTGTTTATGCCCATAATAGTCTCTATTTAGAAAACAAACTACCAATTATATGTATTTGAATGTTTATAGTAACACCATTGTTGCAAAAGAAATTACAGCAGATACTAAAGTATCATGTTATATTTAAGATTTTTTTTTCTAGACAGTCCTATTATTATATTTGCCAATTTGCTCCTTTGTATATATTCTTCCAGTTGTCATGTATTATTAAAACATAGTTTATTCATTAATTCATCTGTAAACAAAACCATATTAGTTCCTACCATGGTCTTGGCACAATGCTAATTCTTGGTAATACAGAGATGAGAGTTACAGACATGGTCCCTGACTGCATTCAATTTACAGAGTTTTATATGTTACTTATATACTTCCTGATTTCGAGGACATAATATATTATTTATGATTATAATTAGATACCCTTTAATAGAATTTCATATCTTCCCATTTAAAGAGAAATGTTTGTTCCTTTTTAAACATTTGTTCCAGAAATTGCCTAATTTTGTAGATGATACCATAGTCTAGACAACTTTCATTCCTAGTATCACTCAAATTTCAAGTTTATGAGCATTTTTCATTAGTACATTAATAAAATATTTAATTTGAAAAAGTGTTATTTAAATCACTTTTAATAAAATCATAATCTGCTTAAAGTCAACAATATTTCAAACACAAGTATTTAATATATAAGATTCATCATTTTCTAAAGAAATACACACCAAATTATACTTATGATAACTAATAAGTGACATGTGGTATTTAAGATACCATGGCAATTGGTCTTGATTGGTTTCTAACAATTACTGATGAAGATCAAAGATTCCAGACCTCTGTATGGATTACACCTCAAAATAAAGAAAACAAAAATCCTCACAACTGGATCAATATGCAATGCCACGATAAACAGAGAAATGATTGACTATGTCAAGGATTTTATTTTACTTGGCTCCATAATCAACTGCCATGGAAGCAGCAGTCAAGACATCTAAACAGCATATTGCACAGGGCAAGTCTGCTGCAAAAGAAATCTTTACAGTGTTAAAAACAAATATGTCACTTTGAAGACTAAAGTGCACGTGATCCAACCCATGATCTTTTTAATTACCTCAAATAAAAACTGCACAATAAGTAAGTAAAACTGGAGAATTGATGCCTTTGAATTATGGTATTTGTGAAGAGTTTTGAATATACCATAGGTTGCTAACAGAAAAAAAAAACACATCTGTCTTGGAAGAAAAACAGCCAGAATGCGCCTTAGAAGCGAGACTGGTAAGACTTTCCTCTCATGTACTTTGGACATGGTATCACAAGAGACCAGATCCTGGAAAAGGACATCATGCCTGGCAAAGTGAATGGTCAGTGAAAATGAGGAAGGTTCTCAACAAGATGGATTGACACAGTAGCTGCAAGAGTGGGTCCTAACATAGCAATGATTAAGAGGATGGTACAGGACTAGGCCATTTTTCAACTCATACTGACCCTATGTAGTTGTGTATATTACTTCAGAATATTACCTATTTATACTTTATTGTTGTTAGGTACCATTGTGTCTGTTCCAACTCATAATGACTCTACATTTCATAGAGTTGGAACCAAGTTGATAGTACCTAAAAATAGCAAGTAAATATAAATAAATAATATTGAATTGATATGGAAATGATTGTTTATGAGTCCATAATTTTATAAAAGGATTGCAGCATAGAACTCATCTCTTTCCATAAATCCATGTTCCAGTTGTCTTCCATAATCTCAGCCATGCACTCTTGTCATTATTACTTCTTTGGCACTCAAGTAGACAAAACATATTTGGGCAGAGTTTAGAGAAATATTTACTTTCAACATTCTATTCTATCAGGCAAAGTTCATACATATATTGTGGTTCAGCAATTGGAATATTTCACTGTCAAACTTTGTTTAATTTTGCAGTGGGAGAAAAAAACACAACACATTAAAGCAATCACCATATACAGTGAAACAAGCAGAGAAGTTCTACAGTTTCTGTGTTTCTAGTTGAGCCTTGAAATTTATTCCATTTAAAGTAAAATAAAATAAATTGTAAAATAAAATTTAAAAGGATCAACCTGAGAAGTATGGTTGTTTGACAAGGTAAATAGTAAAGGGATAAATTTAGGATCACGATGGCAGTATCTGATACTCTTGGATTTTTTTAAAGACATTTAATTTCAACCAACCAGTTAATTTTACCATATCATCTCCATGAGGCCATGTTTATTAAGTGTCCTTGCTAGACTGAATAATCAAACCTCATATAAAATCCTGAATTAAAGCCAGTACTATGTTCATTGCTATCTTGAGGTTGGTTTTAGGAAAACACCCTTGGCTAATCACAGAACATTCCAGCGGTTTTGATTACATCCAAGATACTTCTATTCTGGGTGAAATTGAATCCTAATAAGAGTATAGAAAGAAAAATATACCTTGGTAATAAAAATTTCCATTTTAGAATACAAATTTTAATAGGTAATAAGAGATGAAATAAAATTGGCATTGGTACAGGAGTCTAGAAATGACTTTGAATTGTTGTTAACCATTAAAAATGGCATTAAAGTACTTGTATTCTAAACACAATTCCAAATATAATTTGCAACCATAGATCTGAATTTGAATCACATATACTGTTGTTCTGAAAAGTTGGTTAAAGTCTATTGGGCCTTAATTTCTTCATCTCATGACAGAGATTACTGTATTGATGTGCTTTTGAAATAAATATTACTAAGAAATAAAGTCC